CTAAAGTAAAAGTACAAATATTATAGTCTTAAAATACTCTACTACAATGTTAGAGGGCTAATTTCAAAATATTAGGCTACTTAGTATTAGCAAAAAAATGTACTTAAAGTACACAAAGTAAAAGTTGATTGGATCTTTTTTTAATATATTATCCTGTTTTTATACATATAAATGTGGACCAAATGCAGATACTTGAAATACTGCGTATATTAGTAACTGTATAAATGTACACAGTAATTGTGAGTGTTAAATAAATGTAGAAGTAGAAGTGTGAAGTAGCATTCAATCTACTCTAGTACAATTATATGACAAAATAGTACAATACTTGAGAAAATGTAATTAGATACTTTCCACCACTGCATGTCATATTTCACGCATTAAAAAACGACACTATAGGATTCAGCCGATAGGGACTGATCAGCCGTATGTAATGGAGGGGGGAGGGAGGGAGGAGAAAACATACGGGGAGGGGGAGGGGGAGGGGGAGGGGGAGGGGGAGGGGGAGGGGGAGGGGGGAGGGGGGAGGGCTACAGGTGACGTATGTTACCGTTCCTTCTTTTCAATTGGCAACACCTCGACTTTAGGATAAGTGCACAAACAGGTCTAAAATATCCCTGTTTGGCTCCAGGTCGCTTACATGGCCGTAATAACCTGTTGTTATTAATGCAGGGCACCAAGCCACTGTTTGCTGCAGTTACTTCAGGGATGCTGCAGAAATATGGGCTGAATTTTAAAAAGGATTTAACATGAAAATGTCAAAAACAAGTTTAATTTCGATGTTTTTTTCAGTGAAACAACAAACATTTGAAGGGCCAATGAGATGATTGGGTGGCGCATGTTCTGCAGTGGAGGTGGCTGTGATGCGTGATGTGCAAACACGCAGCAGATGCTCTTATCTCATCCTCCATGAAACAGATCATCTCTGCATCTGCCCTGTTTTCTTCACTACAGAATGTATAGAGATCTGTCCTAGCAGGTCACACAACACATATTTATAATCCGCTTCTGAGGCAATCATCAAGAAAAATATGCCCACATAAGCCACCTCCAGACTTCTGTCAACAGCAGTGCCCCCCCCCACCACAGCCCACACACCAACAGTAACCTCCAGACCCCCAACAGCACGGACGTCAGAGGTGCAGACATTGTAGACACGACATAGGAATGTCACAGTGTCTGTTTTATCATTTTAATGTATTCATTTCACTTTCACGACCTTAAAGCACATGAACCGTTCGTTTTTCTACTGGGTTATTTTTGGCAAGGCGAGTAGCGTTTAATGGCTGGAGATGACGATAATTGTGATGATGATGGTGATGATGGTGATGATGATGATGGGGAGGAGGAAGAACATGATGAAGATAACAGCCACCTCTGCAGACCACAAATAAAGAAATATGCCCTGGGTGTAATTCATCTGATGCGAAGTAAAATAAAAGTCTATAAACTATTAACTTTAAAATAGTTTTTTTTTATATGTATCAATTATCTATTTTTTACATATAATTTATAATATAACTGTATTTTGACAAATATTTCTAAAGGTGACTCATCATCATTTTTGATCATTATAACCCAATACTTTAATAACAATGTTTATAATTTAAAAAAAAAAACAAGGGTTGCACTGTGCAGAGCTAAAAAAACAAAACAAAAACAGACGTTTCGGAGTTGTTTAACATTTTCATAAATAATCTTATTATAAATAATAACACATCCAAAGCAACATATTTCCCTGTTCAGAAGCAAAAGTAAAGTAATGCAAAATAAGTTTGTACTCACTGGCAGTCAGAGGGATCGGCGCGGGTATTCCAGCTTCCCTGCTGGTCACGTCACGCTCCTGGAAGTCCCGCTGTCATGCACTGAACTCGCTGTTCTGCACCTTAAGTGGTTGTTTTTTTGCGCAAACGTGGCTAAATGTGTTCACTATTGTCGCGGAGTCTCGGTCACCTCTTCTCCCGGGGTTCCGCTGCTCGGTTCGTCTGGTTTCAGCACCACGGACAGCGGCTGCTCCGCTCTTATAGCTCGGTCCTCCCGGCCCACGTGTTTCATGCGTCAAGCGATCCCCATTGACGTCACTCGACTGGGTTTCATTCATAAGATTGCACTGCTGTCTCCCCCCCCCCTCCTCCTCCTCTCCTCCCCTCTCTGATCGTACCAATTAGCTGCAGTGCTCGCGCTGCTGAATGAACAGAAGCTGCTGAATGAATCCGTAATTTACCAGCCTTTCTGAGGACACAGCATGTGGAGTTGTTTTTCTCAACAATAAGCAAAGATACAGAACAATTCATACAGTACACAATTATACACAGATCTTACATGTGGACCAGGAAGGGCTGGCAGCTGAGGATGATCAGCCCCATATGTGTTTTGTGTTACTATTGGTATATATGTACACACATGTTTTATGAATGTACTGCAGGTAGAGAGTTCTGTAAACAAGTGATTGACATACTGATGATTTGAGTTCACCATGTCTCCCAAACGTTGTATTGCTGAAGGATGATTCCTCTTTCAACGTATTAAACCATCACAAAAGGGTTCGCTGGTTTCCTTAGCCAAAATGATTCTCATAACACAATGAAAACCCCACATGCTATATTTATCAAACAAAGGATATGTTCCTTCCATGACCTACTGATCTCAGAGCTGTGATTTGCTTTTGTTAAAAGTGCTAAAGGAGAAACACTCGAGGCTATTAAAAGAGCTGCTGAGCGGACTCAATGTCAACTTAGTTTAAGAAGAGGACATTTTCAGTGAAAAGAAAAGAAAAGAACGTATGGATTATGAATTGTTATGCTAAATGGTGTGGAACAGATGAACTCAGACGATTGCTAACAAGCATTATGAATGTTTTCTGTGAAATCCTTTTGTATTATCGTTGACATCATGTTGTATACTTGTGTCCCTCTGTAAGGGCAAATAGAAAGAAATACAAAGTTGGTCACAAAAAGAATAAGCAAAGATGGGAAACATATTTGTTATAAATTACAAAGGAATAATGTATTGTCTTGCAAAGAGATGTATTGCACGTCTTATATGGAGAACCTGTGTTACACATTGCTAATGAAACCACATATATAATAATGCACAGTGCACTGATACAGTATTTCCCCTGTGACTGTCTACTAATATGACGAGCATTAATTCATTAAATTAAGTTGTAAAATATATAAAAGTACAAAATTGAGTTTCCTTCTTGACACTTAAGCCATCATCAACGAAAAGTTCTGAAGACAAAAAAAATATGACCTTAAATATTTCCATGTAATTGACTTCTTCATTTTATACGAAGATCAAGTGATAGGATGGAAACCTTTACCTTTAACATGTAGGAGCACTTTGTAGTGAAATTGTTTTCCAAGATGTACAGACAGATATACCTTTTCCTATTTCTTTCTGCTATCTATCATTTTCCTTCACCCTTTAATCATGATTTCCCTATTTCTCCATGTTGTTCCTCTTCTTGCTTCATTTGTATCGGTGGGATAAAGAAGCAGCTATAATGAAAGATAAAATAAGCATGTGCAGCCCATAACAACATATGGTAAACATGAAGAGAGCAGCTGCAGCTGGTCAGCACTCTGAGTCAGGGACCAATCACAGTGAGTCACCTCAGTGCAGGAGACACTGCTGCATGTTGGTGTTAGTGTTGGAACCCACTCATTACACCGCCTCAGTGTCAGGGAACAAAGAAGATGGTGGAAAGGAAAAGTATTACTTTTGCTACATTCCCAGAAAATATATGGAAAGTTACTTGAACTCAACTACATCTAGACTGCAGGAAACAATAGTTATATAAACTGTTTTTGGAAAGTACATGTACTCAAGTACTGAGTATATGCCTGTAGCTTCTTCACTTAATCTCAGAGGCAAATATTGTATTTTTAATGAGTGACATGTTTCTTATCTGATTCCTTTCACCGAAAGGCTTGTTCATATTTCGTTCATAATCTTATTCATTTATCTTTTATTCCTAAAAACATGGAGAAATTGATTTATTTAAATGGCTGTTTTGGACAGTATTTTCTCCTTTAAGGGGTAATAAATGGAGACGACTAAACTTGTAAAAAAAAACTAGAATGTAAAAAGAAAAAAAAGTCAACCTGGCTTTGCCGAATGTTATTGAAATGTATCACAAATGCCACATATTTAATAATGTAAGCCTAATTAACATAATCAAACAATTACACATTTCTAAAAAACTTTTCAAACAACAATTCTTATAAGTAATCTACTTGGAGTGTAATTGTTTTATCCTTTTAAAAAAAATCATGTTAACCTGCGTGTCTCCCTGTAAGTGTAAGTATTATTTTTGCCTCAGTGAAAAAGTAGGCTATTAAAACTAATGTTATTAGATTATCACAAACGTCTAAATATAATTTCACAGTTTTTAAATATACGTGAGTTTAATCTGTAAATAGGTATTATACTTCATAAAATAACTAAGCTTTAAAAAAACTAAATCTCTCTAAGAACTAGAAACTAGAGCGTCAGATAGTGTGATGGAGAACGGAATGTTTGCCACTGAAATGTAGTGGAGTAAAGTATTAGGTAGCATGAAATGGAAATACTAGAAAAGTGTGTCAACACGTGTACTCCCTAGGCCACTTGGTTAGGGAAGGATCAGGATTAAAAGAAGCCAACATTAAAACAAATGTTGGTTTAATGTGTAGTGTTAAACTCATATGCTTTGTTGACACATCTATTCACCTGAACGTCCTCCTTTACCATCATTAGTAAAGCATGAACACAGCTTATTGTAGACATTTTGAATAAATACATGATCATTTTATTATTCCTGGAAATAAGTCTAAAAATGGCAACCCTAATGGTGCGATCTGCTCATTGAGCTTAAGGAGTATGCAGCAGACATTCGTGGGAATCATTTGGAAAGCTCTGTAGTTTTGGAACACGTTAAATATCCTGCAAGAACTCTTTCCTATACTTCTAAATCAACAGACACGTGAGCATGGGTACATAACACCAGGACAACATTCTATTTCGCTTAAAATGTTTTATTTCTTTATAAAATGACATTCACACACCGAGTCCCTTTAGCCTTTGCCTGCGTCACAGATTTGTGCGTTTCTGCTATCCTACAACAGTTCTTTAAGCCACACACCGTCCTCTTCTCCTCCTCCCCAGAAAACCTTAGACATTTCAAATCAAAAGCTTATTGTCTTTCACATGAATGAACAAGGAAATCACCAAATCGATTGAGCATATGATAAAGGCAAAGATCAAACTGGGTAATTAAGTAGAATTTCACACAATGGAGATGGAAAAACATTATGAAACACACTTTTCAAAATGGAGGGAAAGCAGAGGTCAAAGATGACATCTTAGGAAGAGCAATATGCTCAAACGTACAAAAGAACGTGAGGATGGATAATGAAGCTTCAGAAAAAGGCTTTACAGAACTTTCTAAAAGGCAAAATCACACAGAGTAACAAAGCACTGCCACGTCATGCAGCAATGAGCCAAGTTTGGAGTTGAGGAGGCGCGGTTGAGCATTACTCGTGCATCACCATTACGAGCTGTTATTGCATCATGACTACAAAGATACCCAAGAGAAACCAGAGGCAGGCAGTGTGACAGCAGCCGTACAGTGTGGACATTCAGTAGAGCTAGCAACAGGCTTTAAGACATGATCGGACAACAAATAGTGCTAACACTTAAAACTTTAGGGCCATAATTCCATTCTTTTATTTAAATTACAAGGCAAGTGTTAAAGGTGGCCTTTGATGAGAAACGGTGGTGAGGAAACATGGGAATCCACAAGTCATCTTGTTTTTCTCCTAAACCAATTAAAGCAGACTTTTTAGGGATGTGGTCTTAAAGAGACAGGCGCTGAAACGGCGTGTTTTAAGACAGATGGTGAATACAAGTATATTCAGACAGAGTATGAGAAAAAGTATGTGTCTTTTTCACATTAAAGCATGTAAACATGGTCTAATAGAAACCCAAATACATAATAAACATGATTTTTTTGTATTATATGTCCCCTTTAAAATGAGTCAGATAATTGAATACAAGTCAAATATTCTGCTACCCATGCTGTACATACATTTGAGACAATCTCTCTGTCTTGCAGAAGTTCAGCATGTTTGACCTCCTCCCCATGTGCCCTTTTGATGCATTTGTTCCACTACATGCCAACAGAAAACAATCAGATCACACAGTGAGCCCTTACTCTTAAAAAACGCACCAACATTCAGAGTTCAGCGGAGGAAAACAAAGGATTAGTCCTTGCTGTGTACAGACAACAGGGCTGCAGCCTGACCTCCACCCTGTCCAGGAGAAACGCTCGCACAAACGTCATGTGAGGACATTGTGTTGCAGTACACTATTTACTTATTCTTTCTGTACAAATAAACAGATCAGGTTAAACCAGTTCACAAAAGAGCACTAAACTAAGAAAATGAATTCTCCAATTAGAGGTGGTTTGTCCAGAACTCCTGAGAGGACGTTATATAAATGAATCCCTGTATAATGAAAAACATGCATATATTTTGGGGCAATAAAAGGAAGATTCCCTCTGTAGGATTACATAGTATTGAAAAATCAAACTAAACGTTAGCAAGCGGCAACCACTGAAATCTGGATTTAATATTTTGATACAGCTTATGAATTATTTTCCAAAAATATCTAATGATTAATCACACATCTTTCTAAAGATAGCCTATCACCCGGCTCTATTTCTTCTGAAAGCTTACAGCGTCACAGTATAAATAATGTTCAAAGTGGTCTACTGAAAGAGGAACCCTACTGCATGGTCACTAAGACTTATTCCAGATATATTCATTTCAAAAAGCTGAAGTCTGAGTGGAAATGGTTATCTTTCAATCATTCGTGAATCAACTCTTTTCTACAAAGAATCTGATTGCAAAGAAGTTTATACGGCTAACATCCAGTTCCCTGTCCACTTCTTGTTATGAAGTAAACATGTCATGCATAACATAAGATCACACTATACACTGTTTAAGCCGATATACGTAGTGTAACAGTTTAAGTATACACTCTTTGTGTTATTGGGGGAGTAGAGCTCCGAGTCAGTTGCATGTTTCAGATCACCAGAATATTGTGCCTTGGCAATTCAAATCGAAGTAACAGATTATTTTCCTTAATATTCAAAAGTAAATCTCTCGGTTTACATTCCTTTCATCTCAGATCAATAGTTCATTTGATTAGTAATAGTCTAGCGTCAGAGCGCATAACGTATTGCTGCAACGACACTAAATCATTTGTCTGAAACCGAGCCAATCTGCACAAATCCTGTCGAGGCAAATTGATATGAAAAAACATCTTTCCACTTGATAAAGGATCCAGTTTTTTTCTTTAACTATGGACCAAAAAACAAAACCACAGCTCCGGTGAACTGTTACACCACTAAATAAAGAATTCCAAAAAGGTTTTAGGCACACGATTGTTGAAGTCAAATGAGAAGTTTCTCAGAAGCAGCGGTTACTCATCTTAAATAACATTACCAAGTGATCCACGGCATCAACCACACATTCAATATGTATGATATACTTCTCTAAAACTCGATTGATACTCATGCCTTGGAACTAGTACCAGCAGAACAATGATTCCAACTCAATGCTGAATGTTTCCTTCCATCTCAGTGGTTACTTTTGCTTTCTTTATTAAAACTAAGTGGGATGTGATTCTCCGCTGCACTTTGTTGAATTGCATAAGACAGACTTGACATTTCCATCTGGTCTGGTGCATCAGTCCACTCAGTACATATGCATGGCTGATAAACAAGTTATTCTAGGCTGCGATGAACATCTCAAATGTCTTTGGTTCATTATTAACAACCCACAATGCAGTGTGTCACCCTGGGCCTGTTGTGTTAGGTAAGAATTCTTAACTATGCAAACCTGCCTTTTTGAGAAAGTTCGAAGGAACTTCTTTAAGTGTAGTTTAAATAACTGATCATATTTACAGAGTGGAGTCAGAAAACAAACTACATTTCTGTTTTCTTACCAACTCTGTCGTCTTATGACCATCGGTCCTCCTGGTTATGATGACGTGACTTGAAGGATGGACTCTCGAGTGACCTTTGAACTACAGACAGTCTTAAAGAGAGTCACTGTTGTTGCATGACTGGAAATGTGAGGATGGCTCTCCCGTGTCCTAAAATAGATCGGTGGAGGAACAGACATCCTTGTGTGTTATTTCCGTATTATATTTGATAACGCACATACCAATAGGAATAACGACAAACGCTATGAAAGCAGTATTGTATAAACACAGAATTTTACTTTAAAAAGGTCAGGCGGAATTTCATATTTATTTTATACTCCAATGTCGTGTGCAAACCTAAATCACCAATAAATATATCTTAGTGTTTTGTATGCATCTAAAAGCGAGATATATGAATTCCTTTGCACCATAGATGTGCATCGTTGTCTTCAAACTATTAAAAACAAAGTGGGCTAATTTTCACTGAAGGAATAAACACCAGCGCTGAAAAGGTGGATAAATCCGTAGCTGAAAATAGTCCCCAATAGATGCATTATTCACTCCTGGTATAACTGTTACGTTCTCCTTACTGTACCTACAGGATGTATGTTTATGAATGAGTTTATATAAAGAGTTTATGATATTTTACTGTACTGTAAAACATATTTGTTTTTACTTGGTTGCACTAAATAAATTAAGTAAATCTCCTGTTTGAGTGTCTGTTAAAAACTATAGTAGCCAGCATTTTATTTATTTATGAAACTATACATCTGTAAGCTTTTCTTAAAATGTGATGTCTTTAGTAGGAACCATTGGATTTTAAGTTGAGTGTCCCAGACAGCATATATACGCCAGAAAGTATTGCGAGATGGACCAACACATTTTTTTGTTTTGTCTTTTCATGAGTAGTTGAAAATACAAAATATATAAAAATACCATCAGAATGATCATTTAAGTGACGCTCACTTATTGTGTTTTACCCAAATCCTGCGCTGTACCACATTCAGTACCTGACTGTTTACTTCTTTTTTCATTGGCGCTGCCTCGCTGCGATTTAACGACAGTATCGATTGCAGATTCTTATTCTAACTCTCTGATAAAGTGGACTCAATCTCAGCCCTTTCAAATCTGACCACATAACCCCCCCTGCTGCCACACACAAGTTAAAATCCCATGTCCTCAAGCCCACGCTCAGATCACACACACAAACACACACACACACACACAAACACACACACACACACACAGCTGAAAGGCCTGTCAGTGAAAATGTCTTCCGTTCTTAACCGAGTCTCTTCCAGTGAAACACCGAATGTCGGCCCCAGAACCAGAGACCCAAACACCGTCAGTCCAAGCCTGTTCCATCCAACATTGACCCCCCCTCCCCACTTCTCATCCAGCCCTCAGCCTTAGTATCTGTAGTCTCTCACAACTCTGCTGTGTACTACGCCAAGCCCATCTCCTCCAACACACTCCTGGGTGACTCGTCCTCCTGTGGAGGGAAACAGGCGTTAGAATTGTGTACTCAAGAACTATTTAAAACAAATATATATATATGCACATTAACTGTTCATGGGGCTGCCATTTCTAAAACTAATGAGTCACTACTAATGTCATACATGTGTTCGCTTTGAGTGATAGCCTTGTACAGAAACAGCACTGAAACCCCAACCCTCCATGGTAGAGGTGGTGGATCGGTAGTTACCTCCTGCAGTAGGTCGGCCTGTTCGATAGCTTTGAGGACGCTCTTCTTAGACGTATCCTGGATCTCTCCTCCCATCAGGAACTCATCTAGAATGAAGTATGCCTTCTCAAAGTTAAAGATGATGTCGAGCTCACACACCTGCACAAACACACACAGGCCATCAATGCTATGTACAGCAGGGAAATACACATTCACATTGTGTTAGGAGGTACAACTTCTGTAGCCTTAGCACAGTCAAATCAACTACACAGAGCAGGAGGACAACACATGTGACTCACGCTGCCAAAGTACTTATCCAGAAGCTCCACGAAGCGGTGGATGACTTCCAGTGTGATCAGCTCATTGTCCTGCTCTTCAATTGCACAACAGAAATACAGGCTAGCGTACCTGCAGGAATACACACACAAAGATGCATAGAAACAGTCAGGCTGGAAGATTCAGGGGAAAAAACGAGTTCCAACTATTTCCGACCGATTCCAATCATATGAGAGTAATCCATTTTCAAATCTTCATTATCATCGAAAAATATAAATAAATGACAATGGTGTGATATTTGGTGTAAGCTGGGATATCTCTGCAGCACTTCATTCAAAATGGTATTCTAACACATATTTCAATGAACTGTGCAGCCCTTATGGAAGCCATGTGAATTCTTCCACACGTCACACATCCACGGTCGTTAAATCATGCGTCTGTTTTGCTCTCACACAACAAACAAACAAACCGCAGCAGCTTGGAGAAATGAAATCATTATCCATGATTGTTTTATCCAACCAACAGACCTAATAACATTTCATTCCCTAAAAAGTAAAAGTCACATTTGAGGACAAGAAACGATGGCATTTCAGGCATTTTGTGTGAAGAAGTACATTAAGATATTTGCCTATCTGTTTCCGTTGAATGAATACTGGAGTGTTTGTTGAAGCTAGGAAAACGGCCGATCTGCTCACGCACAGACACCGCTCCATCTGTAGGGACTTGGGAACTGAAGGGTTGCCGGTTCAAGTCCCGATTGGACCCAAAAGAAATGGGAGGTGGAGATGTGCCAAAAACTGCATTTTCCAACCGATTAATAAAGGTCCATCCTAACTGATGTTTGCATTTACTACACACTCGACAGAGGAGGCCAGATGGACAGATTCCATGTATTCAAAACACCAGGCTTGCACAGAAAGGGTTAACAGGGAGTTTCTGATACAACAGAGCTTGTATTGTGAGTGCAGTGTTCCCTCATTTCAACTCCACTGCAGGAAATCCCTGTGTGCTCCTCTCATCTCCCGCCCACGCACACAGGCTTCTTCGTTTGGTAGTCCACCTCTGCATTCTGCTCGCACAGTAATGAGCCCTGACACACACTGATGTCACAGTGTGTGTGTGTGTGTGCAGAAAGAGCTGTGAGAGAGGAATGCTGGGTCTCACCCTTTCCACCCACCTCAAATCTAATGCTGCTCAGCCCACATAGAAACACACTTGTATTGGTCTGTGGGAGGGGAGCTGAAGTAGAAAGACCACGCAGTCAAACTTGCTGCTTCCTTTAAGACACATCAATACTTTTCACTGATACAATGGAACTCATCCCTGATATCAAAGTAAAGAAACTAAAAGATATGCTGGACGCTAAAATGTTGCTCGATTAATAATGATAAGTACAATGGGGCTCCTCCAAGGCTATTGGTGCATTCACGTGCCCCTGGGATAATGAGGGAAATAATGAGCTGCAGCCCTAGTAATGAAATGCAAATCAATACGCCATCATCATCATCCTCCTCTGTTCCTGCTGTCACTGTAGTGCAACATTTTACTTTAATACATTTAGTGCAGTAGAAATACATGTACAGTGATTTGCTATACTCGATTACAAGGAACACGGAATGCAACAGTTAACCGAATGCATCATTATGATTGTCTGTGCGTGTCCTAGCTGATAAGTCACAATTAACACAATCTGGATTTCTGCTCGCTGGTTCGAATACTGATAAACTGTTTATTACCAACTAAATACGTTTTTATGTAATCTATCTTCTTAATGAAACTTGTAATATGAGTTAGTATACAATATCACTTTAGATATTCTATATATTTGGTTCTCTTGCTTATAATGAATAAAATCATTGGATATTTTATACAAATTGTTTGTGCATTTAATTGTTTGTTCATTTGTATCATCATGATATGCTCAGCCTCAAAGCCAAGCTAATACAGGTTATGTTCATTAACAATGGTATGCTTTTTTTGAACAATGAACATTAATGAAGTTGGCCAAACATTAAAAGTCAACTCTTTGCTTTTGTCTCAGGAGGAGGGAATCCTTAAGTACTGCACTTAAGGATTTCTACTTTATGGGACCATGTTCTTTTGATGCTACCATTACACTACATGTTATAAAGCTAATTGTTGGGGAAATATGTTCCTAGGCCCAAACCTTTGACCCAGTTAGCCTGCGACCTTGGCTGCTGTGCTCTCAGTGTGTTGTCTCCCTGCTCCTGCCTGCTGGCGTCAGCTGATAGAGGTGTCATGATTCTATCTTGTTATGCTCAATGTTGATTCTTCTCTCAGAACCAGCCAAATACACGGGTCTGGGGTAGAGCTCTTCAGAATGGGTTTGGCAGCAGCTGTGTCACCTCGTGGCACAGCACACGTCAGCCGAAGCTCCAAATAAACCGTCAGTGTTTGCCATCAAAGCTCCTGCTCATCACACTAATAAAGTTATTTTTAACCACTACATTTACCCGACAGCTTTAGTTACAGATTATAATACTATTCAATACAAATGACAACTAAACTAATAAATCAACTTTGATATATTATTATAGGTTCATATTTCCAGCATCAGTAAATAGAGTAATTCAAATGAGCTCCATCTTTACCAGCTGTTATAAACACAAAAATGCACAAATAGTCAGAATCTAATAATTTCCTAAATGCAATTCTTAAATTACGCACAATAAGTACTTTTACTTCAAGTATGTAAAGTATATTTTAATGCCATTATATATACTTTTAAATACAGTAACTCATTAAAGGAATCACTGACATGAGCACTTATGGAAGACTCTTCCAGTTGCCGGGCAGAAACAGGAGCAACCTTTTGACAGTTCTTGATTAGTACCTTTTATAGACAATCTTGAGGTCCCTCCATTCTAGAAAGCTGCACATTTTTGGTTTGCGGGCGAGCACTATCTGCATGAGCTCCCTGACCATCTTCTTCTTGTCGCGCTCCGCTGTGGCGGTGTACCACTTCTGCAGCCGCAGCTTCCCGAGAGAGAGAGGAGAGGGATAGAGAGCGAGAGAGAGAGCGAGAAGAGCGAGAGAGAGCGAGAGAGAGAGACAGAGCGGAAGAGAGAGCGAGAGAGAGAGAGAGCTGAGGGATAGAGATAGAGTCGAGTAGCGAGAGCGATAGAAGAGGAGAGAGAGAGGCGATAGAGCGATAAAGCGAGAGAGAACGAGAGAAGAGACAGAGAGCGGCGAGAGCGAGAGAGAGCATCGAGAGCGAAGCGGAGCGAGAAGAGATAGAGAAGATCAGAGAGAGATAGAGAGAGAGAGATAAGATAGAGAGATAGAGAGCGAGAGAGAAGATAGAGATAGATAGAGATCTATAGAAGAGAGCGATAGAGAGGGACGAGATCGAGAAGAGAGCGAGAGCGATATAGATGATAATAGAGAGAGAAGAGAGGAGAGAGAGAGAGAGAGATAGAGAGAGAAGAGAGAAGAGAAGGAAGAAGATAGAGACAGAGAGAGCGAGAGAGAGAGAGAGAGAGAGCGAGAGAGCGAGAGAGCTCCCTCTCTCTTATTCTCTCTCTCATCTCTCTCTCTCTCTCGATCATGAGTTCGCAAACAGCGAGAGCTCTAGATCATACCGGCTCCTCGCTATAAGAGAAGAGGACAGAGAGATAACATAGACAAAGAGACAGACATAGACAGAGACAAACTAGACAGAGACAGGAAACCAGAGACAGAGAGAGAGAGAGAGAGAGAGAGAGAGAGAGCAGAGGCAGCAGAGCGGGGTTGATATACAGTATGTTCCATGATTAAATGAGTATTATTGGGGAAAAGGAATTTCTAACATTTCTGAGAAGAAATTGTGAAAACATTTGTTTGTTCTTTGTCATCACATGACGGTGCTAAATACAGAAACAAGTCGAGTCGTGTAATACTCACCACTCTGCTGCTCCTACTTCCTCTCTTTAACACCAATATAGTTACAATTCACTCATTATTTTCCAACCACTTCCAGTCCATCAAGTTTACTCCGAAGGTTTGAGAGTCAATTCTATTTCTTTCTAAGTTCTATTTTAAATGTACATCATTATATTTGATCTTAGTACATTTCTCACCTGATAAAAACATTCCACAATATAGAATATCATATCAAACTCCTTCAACCATCTTTGAAACTATTAATAATATAAATATCTTCTGATTACTGACAATTTAGTTTTGACCAAATCAGTACAGTTGCAGCAAGTTGTGCTTTAATTCATCATCTTATTATATTTCTCTTTTCATTCTGAACAGATCTGATGGAAGTTTAAAGTCTGCAGTCGCACAGGACTGAGTAGCAGGCAGAACATACGCTCACTGTTTTAATGTTAGAGCCCACGGTTAAGTCTGCACTATTTCATTTACCCCTCCACAAGTCTTAAAACAGACACACGCTGTTGGCTCCGTGCTACATATAGCGTCTTAAGAGCCAGAAATCATTCCCAGGAGTTAAGGGAGGCACAATTAGAACCTACACTGTGCCAGGTAACAGACGATTGGATGATAATGCTTCTCTGTGTCTGCTGGGTATGTACGAAGGCAACTTACTTTACTAACAGGGGATATTGAGATGTTTTACTTGACCTTATTGGTTCATCTCTCTAATAAAGAGGACGTTCTGCTCATTTTCAGGTTCATACTTATAGGACGTGTCTCCACTGGGACGTGTCTCCACTGGGACGTGTCTCCACTGGGACGTGTCTCCACTGGGACGTGTCTCCACTGGGACGTGTCTCCACTGGACGTGTCTCCACTGGGACGTGTCTCCACTGGGACGTGTCTCCACTGTGACGTGTCTCCACTGGGACGTGTCTCCACTGGGACGTGTCTCCACTGGGACGTGTCTCCACTGTGACGTGTCTCCACTGGGACGTGTCTCCACTGGGACGTGTCTCCACTGGGACGTGTCTCTACTGTGACATGTCTCCATGCTTTAATGTTCAAAAAGCTCTTTATTTCTCTCATACTGCCTGTGCTGCAGCACCTCTTTTCACCCTCTGTCTGAAACCAGAGCCCAGTCTGCTCCGATTGGTTAGCTGGCCGGCTCTGTTGTGATTGGTCGACAGCTTAGAAATGTCTCGTCTTTTAGCAAATCACTTACAATGTGTTGGAGTGCTAGCCAATAGAAGTGTGAGTGTTCGACAGTGATTTCACTTTACTACGGAAAAGAAAAAGGAGTCCAATGGAGGCGTTTCAGGCAAGGGGGACGTAGGGATTTTAGCCGTTGCAGACCATTGACATGCATACAAACCTATGACACACTTCAGAAAAGGGAAGACCCAATAAAGCATAATAAAGCCTCTTAAATAAACAGATTTCTACATAGAGTTTGGTGTGATATTTTCTCCACAAAGAAAAAGAAATACAGCATACACCCATATGAACGGATCCTAGCCTACTGTCTGGTGCATTTATTCACAGGCAAATAGTCTATGCAACAATGAATATCAACACATACTGCTACAGTGTATCTACAGCTTCAATACAACTCAACGACTCACACGATCATAGATCTACCACACCAACTACTATTTATCTTTAATTACATGCGTATGCGAAACCTCTTTAGGGTCTATATGACCAAAGAGACTATGTGGGAGGTGTGGTTCCTGTTTGTTTTATCGGCGCAGGATGCTTGGATGGAATACATCTAAATATAGTCTTAAGAGCTATTCCAACATGGACTATGTGTTTTAGTGCAAAGGAGACTTTGGTGTTTATACTGCATATTATTTACAACTTGACGGTTCAACCCTTTTGGCAATAATGACAAACTGCTAAGTCTGGTCCAACACTGTTTGAATATTTAACAACAATGACTGAATTATGCATTTAAAGATTACCGCTTTCAACAATGCCAGTCTTATATTGTGTCTTCTTTTAACAGCAAGAAAACAGAACCCAGAGCTTATATTTTGTAAAACATTGATATTGTACACAGTGATTTGCTGTAAAGAAAAACATGTATAGCCGAGCTAAATGACATATATACAGCTTAACATAGTCAAACAATAATCATAATATATCTTGTTATTAGGTACCAACATCTGAGTGTATTTGCCAGCAACAGTTGTCATTAAACCAAAAGCATTAGTGGCCATTTACATATACTAGTTGGGACACATATTTTTGGAAATGTAGTGTACTAATACATTTAACAGTTATTTAATAGTTGATATGACAATTTACTTAACAAATAAATGGCTACAATGTCATCTGCTGTCATATCCATTGCTGTGTATTTAACTGGTTAGAAGAAGGCAGCTGTTTGACAGTCGTCTAACTGTCACCTCCATGACACCGACTAACACCTGGGCCTAAAGTCGTTACCTGCGACAAGGAAACTCGCCAATTATACAGATAGAAAATCATATGCAAGGCTCATTCAACATTACTCAATGTCAATAGGATACAGCTAACATTTCAAGGGTCATGTGCTGAATAAGGAGCCACAGTGTGTTAGAAATACAAGATTATTTCCCACCTTATGCTGATATACGGTCTGTTAGCTCGCAGGCTATCCTGACAGAAGCCAGGTGAAGGTAGCGCAGGTGGACACTTCCTGTAATCATACACCTTGCTAGCTTTAGCTTAGCACGTAGCTCCTGCCCCTTTTTAAGCGGAAGAGAAGCAGTCACTTACCATTTCTCTTACTTTTTAAACTACCGTGACGGAAGACACGAATACACTGCCTGGTCCGCGTGAACAAATACACCGCAGCTAACGTTGACAGAGTACATGTCAGTGTGAGATACTACGAGGTAAATTGAGCTGTACCCATTCACCGCTACACTGAACAGTTTCGCCTCTACTGAGCATGCGCGGGAAATTACTTTTTTCGCCCTGAATTTTGCCTCTCAGGTAACACCCATTTCGTCATGTCTAAAAAATATAACACAATGCAGTGGTGGAATGTATGTAACTAACTATTTCTCAAGTACTGTACTTAAGTACAATTTTAAGGTACTTTTACTCTACCTGAGTATTTTCACATGATGGTACTTTATACTTCCACTCAACTAAATTTGAGAAGCCAATACAGTATATTAATTAAAGCATTATATAATCCACTACATTTCTTTGACAGCTTTTAGTTTCTTTTTACCTTTTAGATTTAGATTAGCTAAATACCAAAAAAATCATAATAATTCAATAACAATTAAATATAATTTTATGTTAAGATATCTTGCAGCAGTATATAAAGTAAATACATAATTACCATTAATGCATACTCATAATCCAGTAATGTAATGTCTATTATGAAATGAGCCACATTTGGCACTTAGGTATATTTTGATGCCACTACTTTTGTGCTTTTACCTGATTACGATTTTCAATGGAGGACTTTTACTTGTAACTTGAGTATTTTTACAATTTAGTAATGCTACTTTTACCCCTCCTCGGGCATTTTTGTTCATTTTTCCTGACTTTTTTTTAAATTTGGTGATCATTTCAGCTGTGTTACAGCTTTTGGCATGGATTTTTGCAAGAAGTCTTCTTTTGAGTCACATTTTTTAAAATCCAATGTCGTTTACTCTTACATGCTTTGTATACTCTCGTGATGCATTTTGCACCCTCTGGACCCCTTCGTGGCAAAAATGTACACGCCCATAAAAACTGCTATTAAATCATCATACATCAATATTTCTTTTAACTTTTGTTTCCATTAATCACTTAAAAACTACCAAACATTCAATCATTTTCAGGATTTTAACCCGTTAAATGCCTGTTTCATTATTTGAATTATTTAATTTATCTTAAAAAAAAAATACAAAAAATGATTTTTTTTCCTAGCCTACCTCTGGACCCCTTCCTGGCAAACATGTACACGCCCCAAACAACTGTCCTCTCCACTTTCAGAGAAAGGGTCAGAGGAACTGACATCAGTAGCATCCCTTAGAAGATGGCCTTTTTTACCCATGAAATGATCCGTGCATGCTTACAGATTCTCACACACACACACACACACGCACACACAGACACTCACTCACACACACACACACACACGCACACACACACACACGCACACACAGACACTCACTCACACACACACACGCACACACACACACACACACACACACACACACACACACACACACACACACAGACACTCACTCACACACACACACACACACACACAACACACACACACACACACACACACACACACACACACACACTACCACACACACACACACACACACACACTCACTCACCACACACCACTACCCACACACCACACACCACACACACACACACACACACACACACACACACACACACACACACACACACGGAGAGGGAGGAGAGGTGTGTGCTGGTTGTGCACAGGCCTAAAAAATAGATGTTCTATCACCTGAGAGAGCACCAGGTCACATGCTGCAGAACCTGCTGGTCTGCTGCTGGAAATGACACACACACACACACACACACACACACACACACACACACACACACACACACACACACACACACACGCACACACAGACACTCACTCACACACACACACGCACACACACACACCACACACACACACCACACACACACACACACACACACATACACCACTCTCGGGGCCCCCTGGTAGTCACACGGCTCCATAATATAACTGGCAAAAATGTAAGAATTCCATTTTCGGCCTACAAAATGGTGTAATCCATGTATTTTTTCTTTTAATGTTTATTTATTAGCTTTTCTTTTTAATGACTGATTTTAAATGCCATTTTCTTAATCTCTTTCATTTTTTGTAAAGCACTTTGAATTGCCTTGTGTTGGAAAGTGCTATATAAATAAACTTGCCTTGCCTTGCCTTGCCTTGCCTAATCTGTTGGAATAGAGTAGAAATATCAAATATCACTACTTTTCTTCTAAATGAAATGCTGACATTACAAAATGCATGGCTTTATACTGCAATGGCAGTGAGATCAACAAATGTGGTCTGAATGGAAGTCAATGAGGCATTTTTGAGAGAAATGAAATGATTCAAATAATGAAACGGGCATTTAAAGGGTTAAAATCCTGACAATGATTACATGTTTGGTAGTTTTGAGTAGTTATAAGTTGTTTATGTGATTCATGGCAAAAAAGTAGAAGAAAATATTGATGTATGATGATTTAATAGAAGTTATTTGGGGCGTGTACATTTTTGCCACGAAGGGGTCGAAAGGTTGAAAATTCGAGGAGGGCACAAGGGTTAAGTACAAAATCTGTGTACTTCTTCCACCTCTGTACATATATATTTGTACAATTGTATCCACTTTGAATAGTCATATTCTTCTTTATTTGTTATTGTTTTACTTTAAAACAAAAAGTCCTGCAAACCACAGAAGATCACATTTCTAAAAATACAATTACCTTGAATTTCCTAATACGTATATAAATTGTAATTAAAGCATTATATAATAGCCAGGCACATGTGTTAAGCATGGATATCTCTACAGTACATCTTGCATTGTGCTTATTTTAAGCTTCATACTTGTGTAGGACATGTTTACATTCTTTAATGTAAAGAAAGCAAACATTATAATTCATATACTTTTTGTCTGAATATAGCTGTATTCGCCACCATCTGAATAGCACCATTTTAGTGTCCAACTTTTTAAACACCCTTCGAAAAGCCCAGTCTTTGATTTGATTAAATCAGTTCTATTATAATGGACATGCATGTGATATGGGACGAAGAGCCAATTGAGCCCACACAAAGCTGATAGGGTTGATTTAGTTGACAGTTTGTGGGTTGGAATATACCAGATACCAAATAAATGTTTTTCATGACCCAGCTCAAATAGGGTCCTCATTACTTAGGCTGTTTAAACACCAGAGGTCAGTGTTTACCTTCCACAGATCTTAACACTAGAGTAATCACAGACTGCATTTTTGTAAAAACATAGTATTTTAATAAATATAAATACAGCAAAATACAAATGTTATTTGGCAACAACAATGAAATAACAAAAATAGATATTCGAAATAACATTGTACAAATAGATAAACATACATCTTGTTTTAGTACTGCAGTGCATCGGTGCCTGTTGTGTCAGACAACAGTAAAATACTCAATTAGTTAACTTTCCTTCATACTTCTTTCTCTTTAGTCATTTAGAGAAATAAATAACAACAAATAAACTCCTAGTCAGTGATGTTTCCAATGTCTGTTGTAATACATGCGTGTATCCATTTGCCCCAGTCTTCTTGTATTAAGTATCTTATAAATAAAGGTGTCAGTGAATAAGTCTATTGAGTCGTAATAAGTCATATAAACTGTGTACAGTAGGTGTGGTGTGTGTATGGTCGTCATGTGGAGTGTGAGCAGCAGTAGTCAGACGCAGTGGAATGAAGGCGGGTCTTCAGAGTGGGTTCATGTTGTTAAGGCTGGTTGAACTGGCCCATGAACAGAACAGCACCTGAACACAGGAAGTCAAACATTAGACACACCATCCCACACGCTCAGGTCAGATAAATACTTCTAAAATTGGATTTAAAAATAAAATGTGAAAAAAGAGTGTTACC